TAGCAAGTATACTCACCTTTCTGATGATAATCTTGAAAAAAAAAAAAAGTCTTGGATCAAAAGAATGAAGCGGAATAGCAGATGCACTTTGAACAAGTGCCACATATCTTGAAAAAAAAAAATGAAGACCAACCAGCTTGTGAAAAAAAAGTGTATTTTGCTAGACTTTCATATTGTTTAGTGAAACTGATGTAAAAAAAAAAAGAAAAAGAAAAATAAATGAAATAGGGAAGAATAAGAATCTGCGTTCTCAAGTATAATAGAAAGTGCATGACAATGGTGCAGTAAATACCATAGAGTTAGAAAAAAAAAATTTAATAATACAAGAGAGATAAGGTGACTCAAAAGCTTGATTAAAATGGTATATTTTACACACTTTGTGTGAATTTATGTTCTTTGTTTGGATTATTTCAAGTATACTACACTGTGGCTATTAAATATAGTATGTGGCTCAAGTTTTTAGAAGTAGTAGTGCGAAAAGGGGAGTTCTGGAACAATTTTTTGGTACCCTGGATAACAAAGTAGTCATCTTACCCTTTTCACATCTTTGTAAATCTATATTCTATAACAACTCTTAGTACCTATATAAAAACCTGAGTACTAAAAATTATATAGCTAGAACTCACTATTTTTATATTTTATAATCAAATCGGATGATGACAAAAAATTAATCTCATCATCACACTTGATATCATATACTATTCATTCATATATAAATCAAAGTACCAAAAATTAAGTATCTATTTTTCTTTTATAATACTTTTGATAATGTCTACCAACATAATAGCTTCTAATATGGTTAGGACATCTACTGCTTTTAGACCGAGTAGGTTTACCACAATCAGTGCAAGAAAAGCGTTTGATTATATTTTTATGAAGCCAACACCCTTTAGAATTCATACATGATTGGCCACATACCTCTTCAGTATATAAAAGGAAATCACATATATATTCACCTAACTGCATTTTTTATATATGCCTAGTACATATTAATTTTCAAATTGAATAAAATATTTTATAAGTAACAGATAAAAAATTTCGTACCAGCATCCATATACAATTTTATACTATTATTTTACTATGGTAATACATACATGTGATAGATGTAAAAAAGAATTTAAAAAATTAGCATTACTTAGTATACATCTAAAATGAAAAAATCTATATAAACTTAAAATTCTAAATCCTATTACAACTCCAATAGCATTACTACAAAATTCTGCTACAAATTAAATTCCAACTCAAACTTATATTCCAGTAGGTGATTTAATCCAATTGAATGGCACACCTTTACCTATTCAAAATATATCTTCAGACAATGTTTCTTCGAATTTACCTCAAAATGATACAGAATGGTTTGATAATATAGAAGATAAATATAATATAAATACTGATAAAAAATGGCCTGAATTAGCTGGAACCTTGCTCTATGACTATCCAAAAAGAAATATCATAAAGATAGAAGGTAATTTTGGTGGTAAACCAGTAAGAAAAAACTATAGACTAACAAACAAAGAGTTAATATTCGAAGAATGTGAATCTAATTTAGATCCTTTAAGACCTCATCAGAACTTAACAGCAATGAGTTTATGGCAAGCAATTATTCTATCTAATAAAAATATAAAATATAGATTTAATTGTTATGTTGAGAATTCCAATAAATATTTAAAAGCCTATATATGCCTCAGCTTATAGCAAATGCAAGAGAACAAATTACAAGAGTCCTTAAAGCCGAACTGTGTAAAAAAGATCAAATAAAAACTGTATTAATTGCTCAATGTATATATTCTGGGCATGTTAGCAAAGGGAAAGACAAACTTAGTCCATTAACTATAATTGCTTATCACAGAAGCCTCATGCGTGTTATTCTTAAAAAAGAAGATATTAATGAACATATAAATTTATCTATATCAGAAATAGATAATGCTATAGACTCATTTATGCAAGAAGGATCAGGAATGAATTTGGTAAGGATTGAAATGTTAACTATTGAAGCTTATACTTATCGAAGAACAACTGGTGAATCATATATCTCTACTCCCAAAAAGCTCGCCAATACCAAATATACAATCAATCCTGATAATTCAAAAATAATCGATCCAGATACAGATATACCATCTGATAATTGTCTTCAAGGCGCATTAGCTTGTTATTTTGCTCATAAAAATGGATATACAGAACATCTTGAATGAATATTTACTAAAAAGGATTATAAGCAATACTTGGATATAGTCAATTTAGATAGAATCCCAATGCCTACACCAATTTGCTCACGTATATTCAATAAGATAGAAGAGATGAATCTAGATATTTCTATTAATATTTGGGAATAGAAAGAGGAAACAGCTACTCCCAAACCAGTAATAGCTAGCAAGAACTATAATCGACAACATATTATATATTTTATGGCTCTTGCAGATATTACAAAATCTGAAAATAAATATAGGCAAAAGAACTATTTTCTTTGGATCAAAAACCCTGATAGATTAGTATTTAAGAATAATAGCAAGCATACAAAAAAGTATCTATATAACCGGTGCTTTCATAGCTTCCAATCAGAAAAGTCTCTACTTTATCACCAAGAACATTGTTTCAGTTTAGGAGAAGCAACCCAAAGAGCTAAATTACCTATTAAGGGTGATAATGACTTTGAAAAGTTTAAGAACTATAGACGAATGATCAATTCTCCATGTATTATTATAGCTAACTTTGAGGCTAATAATAAGAAATGCGATGAGAAATATGGAGGTCAAATGTGAAAGCTTGCAGAACAAAAGGCCAATAGCTTTTGCTACTTAGTTCACTGGATTGATACTGGAAATATATGGGGACCTTTTATATATTGAGGTGAAAATACAATACAAGAATTCATCCAAAGAATTAATAAAGAGCTAGTTGAAATTAATAAGGTCTTAGCTGTTAAAGCTGATCGAATTAAGACTGAGAAAGACAAGAAAAGATTTGCCGAATCAGATACTTGCTGGATTTGTAAGGGGAAAATTGCTATTAATAAAGAGAAAGTTAAATGCTTAGAAAATAAGGCATCATGGCTCAATAATAAGTTAGAAAATACCCCAAAGAATTCAAAAGACTATAAGGCCTTAACCACACAAATTCTCAAAGTGACTAAGACAATTGATCAAGCAGAGGCTAAGGATATTAAAGTTTGGAATCACTATTATATCACAGGTAAGTTTCATAGATCAGCCTATAGAGATTGCAATCTCAAACTCCAAATAGAACCATGGAAGACGCCAATTCCAGTTATCTTTCATAACTTCTAGGGCTATAACTCTCACTTGGTTTGTGAATCTGTTGGGCAATCTGTTAATGCTCATCAAATTAGGGTCATAGCCGAAACATTTGAGCGATACAAGTCTATGAAGGTAGATCAGCTTAAATATATAGATAATATGCAATTTATGAATAATAGCTTGGCAAATCTTATGAAAAATTTGGGCAACAATCATCTTATTACAAGCCAGCACTTTAAACACAAAGTGTCCTGCTTCGCAGAAGACTATTCTTCAGATCAAATTTCATTAGCAAGTCGTAAAGGAGTTTATTTTTATGAATATATTGATTCACAAGATAGATTTTTAGAGACTAAGCTTCCACTAATTCATGAATTTAATACATATCTTCATAGAAAAATTAGCCAAAAAGATTATGAGCATGCCCAAAAAGTATGGAAAGAATTTAACTGCAAGACTTTAGGTGATTATCATGATCTCTATTTTAAAATCGATGTACTCAGTCTTGCAGATATTTTGACCCAATTTCGAATGACATGTATGCAGTATTATGAGCTTGATTCTAGTCATTATGTTTCAGCACCTGTATTAGCTTGGGATGCTATGTTTAAGATAACAGGTGTTAAAATTAAGCTCTTTACAGATATATCTATGCATAATTTTATAGAAAAGGCTAAGTGTGAAGGTATAGCTATAGCCTGTAAGCACTATTTCAAGACCAATAATCCAAAAATAGGTAAGATATTTGATCTATCTAAACCCACAACGTGGATAAACTATATCGATGCAAATAATATTTACGGCTGGGCTATGAGTCAGTATTTGCCTATTGGAAATTATAAATGGGAGGTAAGTCGTAAATATCTTGAGGAT